GAAATTGCCTTCATTTATCTGCGTCCTCTTAGATAGCCTGTACACTCTATGGAAGGAGGGACTGTGCCCATCTCGATCCCCTAGCAGGCATTAAACATCTGTTGAATGTTGTCGGAAAGAGAGATTGGTGACCCTTAGTACCTCACTGTCACACTCTCAACTCTGCAGAGGAGAAAAGAGGTAGAGGGGTGCAAAGGGAACATGAAATGGAAAATTTCCCACCAAAATTCCTCCAGATCCAAATCAAACAGAAATCGTCTTTAGCCTTTTGAAAGAAGCCCACAGTTAATAATTTTTCTATTTCTACAGGGCTCCCCTTCTCTGCCCTTTCTGGTCTGGGCCTAGACCTTCCCCTCAAGTGCTGGCCTAAGCTCCTCCCCGGGAAAACATCATTCTGACTCCTAAACAGGGTAGCACAGCTGAGGACCAACATGGAAAAGTTCTATGGGGAAGAAAGACCATCTATCTAAGACCTTCTATCCTTCTATCTAGGCCAAAGACTCTCTCCCCTAGGACCATCCCTTTTTCATACAAACTAAAAGATACTGAGACTAAGGAAAATATCTCTTCTGTCTTCCCCTTAGGCCAGAGGTGACTGTCATTTCAGGTTCACCAAAGGTTTCTCCTGCTCACAAGGCCATTAGGCACCACCAGAAACCACTCAGAAGGGAAAAGGCCATCCTCTAGCCTGCACCAGCCAAAGTGCTGTGATCTGTGGAGATTGGAAAGATTGCTTGGGATGGGAATGGGGTGGGGAAAGAAGAAGAAACTGGAATGGGGGAAGAGGCAAGCAAACTAAAAGGATTCCATTGGTGCAAAACGCTCAGGTTGTCCCTACTGTTAAACCCAGGGCCACACACCTTGCTCAGGAGCTAGAGCCACTGCTCCTGTGTCTTTGCTTGTGTTTATACACAGCCCTAAAAACTGAACTCATTAGTCACTTTGATTTAAGCATATATCCTCTTTCATACCTCCCCCGCCCCTTCCTGTTTCCCTAAATTTCCTTCCCTTTTTTGCTCAGACTCTCAGCCTTGTTTCTGGCCGTTGCTGAATGCTGAGGGAGCTGAGCACCTCCTAGTCTTCCTGAGTCTGACCACCTCTTGGCCAACGGGGCAGTTCCTCTTACTCCAACGAGCCAACGTACACTCAAGGAAGGCAGGCCAGTATCAACACACTGGCACTGGCTCACAATTAAGACATTTTCTTGGGTATTGAAATGCAAAACAAACTTTAAAATTAACCGTGCTTCAAAGATTCTCTGTGTTGCTGCTCTAGCGTGGGAGGCAGCAGAGCGTTAATGAAACGTAAGTCAGAAACAACGAAATATTCCATCTCATTCATCTGGTAGTAAGACCTCAGATAAGTCACTTAAACCCTTTAGCCTGTTGAGACAGAGAGAGAGAGAGAGAGAGAGAGAGAGAGAGAGAGAGAGAGAGAGAGAGAGAGGAGAGCACACACATTAAAATGAAGTCCCACTTGCCTTTAGAGTTGTGTCAGTCTAGGATGGTAAAACCATGTTAGTGTCAGAAATGTTATAAACCCCGAGTTCCAAAGTCCCTTTAGTAGCTATCATTAAAAAAAAAAAAAATTCTGTCAATCAATAGATGCTATAAGTTCATAGGAAATAAAGGAAAAGTGTCATACTCTATGAACCAATCTCTCTAATCTTCACCTTCATTTTCAACTAGCAGAATTCAAGGTAAATTTCTTTATTCTTATTACTAGTCTGCAGGGGCCTCCCACAGGTGACAAAATTATGCTAGGCTGTCAGGCACCTCCTTGTGGCCTTCTGTGAACAGGCTGGCTTTTTATAGCATCAGCTCATTGGGCACCTGTATATTAATGCTCTTTTCTCTGCCTGCTCAACTAAACCGTTCAGTATTTCCCTTGTCTGAGTTGATACTCCTGTGTCTTAGCTATTCTGTGTCTCCTTTTCTTATCACTTCATTCCTTTCACACATTAGGAGGTCATTGTTGGCAATGGGGCCTAAAAATTACTAATGGAAAGGTTGTTTTCCAACACCCTGCCTCCCCAGCTCAGAACAAGCCAGCCCCATGGTAAGTCTTACATTAAAACAAATCAGGGCCGGAGTGATGGCTCACGCCTGTAATCCTAGCACTTTGGGAGGCCAAGGCAGGAGGATCGCTTGAGGCCAGGAGTTCGAGACCAGCCTGAGCAACATAGCAAGACCCTGTCTCTACAAAAAATAAAAAATTAGCCAGGCACAGTGGCATGTGCCTATAGTCCCAGCTAGTCAGGAGGCTGAGGCTGGAGTTTTGCTTGAACAGGCAGGTGTTGGAAGTCGCAGGGAGCTATGATGATGCCACTGCATTATAGCCCAGGCAACAGAATGAGACCTTGTCCCCCCCCCAAAAAAACAAACCAACCCCTCAACCAACCAAAATCAAAACAAAACAAAACAAAACAAAAAAACTGATCAGAATACATATTTGTAATCTAAGGAAGCAGGAGATGGTAGTAGACCACTGTGCCAGTGGTAGGAGTCTGGGGATACAGGCATGACCAGAGTGTGTGGCAAGAGAAGCATCTGCCATGGAAAGGGATGGCTTTCACTAACATAGGTCTAAAACCAGGACTGGAAAAGAATCAAGAGCATTAGCTATGTCTGTAACATTTGATATCTAATGTTGAGAGAATGGAATGTATGTTGGCCTTCGGGAATGAAAGCTCTCTGGGAATCAGAAAATAAACAGTAACAGCTGTAGGAAAGGATTTGGAAAATTTGAGGAAACTCTGGATCCTTCCCTTAGGAGTTCCCCAGGCTCCAGCTTATTTGGACCCCTGAGTTCCACTCTGTGAGAGAAACAATTTTCCAAAGGGATCAAGAACAGCACAGAAAGGGGGGAAAAAAGACCCTGCTTAGATTCTGATGGGTGTATTTTATGAAAGTACTTTACAGAAGGACTCTATAGTCTCAGCGGAAACATAATTAGGAACAGACTCTCTTTAAGGTCAACCCTGTTGTAAAAGTGACCGAATAAAGAAATCTTGCAGGCAGGAAGTAGGAAGTGTCCAAAAGTAGGCAGTCATCAGATACTAGCTAAAAGGCAGAGACCAAACCACATGAAAGCAACAAAGCATTGCCATCTTAACCAGGTCTCCTTTTGCAAGCCAGAAGTGAAAGGGGGAAACGGACAATGGTTGCAGTTACACATGCAGGGACCCCTCCAGATGTGACAACGCAGTACGCTCCATGGGCTCATATTCTGGCGAATATCTTCAGATATATGGACTCTGTTTTAATCTGAGACAACTAATTTATTAAACACTTATTATAAGTTTGGGCACTGTGCATATGTTATTTAATCCCAATAACTCTATGGGCTAGGTATTAACAACATTACTTTCAAAGAAGAAACAGACTCAGGGAGGCTGAGTAAACTGTTCAGTGCTATTCGGCTAGTAAACTATAGAGCTAGGATTTGAACTCAAAGCCTATGAGATAGGAAACTGAATTCTAGAAGTAAAGAGAACATGTAGGGAGACTCACTTAGGTTGCAGACAAAAACAAGACGTGGGCGATGTACAGATATCTATGTAAAAAAAAAAATCTTTCTTTTTTCATCCTAAAGAGTCTAGACTCCAAGTCACTAACTTATAATGTAGCATTGGTTAAGTGTGAAAACTCCTTGGAATTGGTGAGAAATATGCAATGGCCTCTGAGGAAGGTTCAGAAACAGGAAACCACATGAGGCTGAAGGCCTCTAATAGACGGCATCTTTGCAACATCTCATACTACTCAGCCATGGACTGGCTGATGTATAGGGTCAAGAGAGAATCTGGGCCGGGCGCGGTGGCTCACGCCTGTAATCCTAGCACTCTGGGAGGCCAAGATGGGAGGATCACTCGAGGTCAGGGAGACCAGCCTGAGCAAGAGCGAGACACCATCTCTACTAAAAATAGGAAGAAACTAGCTGGACAACTAAAAATATATAGAAAAAAATTAGCTGGGCATAATGGTGCATGCCTGTATTCCCAGCCACTTGGGAGGCTGAGGCAAGAGGATCACTTGAGTCCAGGAGTGTGAGGTTGCTGTGAGCTAGGCTGAGGACACGGCACTCTAGCCCAGGCAACAGAGTGAAACTCTGTCTCAAAAAAAGGAAAGAATCTGCTACAAAGATGCTAAAACCAGGCAAAAGTGAGAAAGCATATTTCCTTTGGTTCTCTCTACATTTTGATGAGACGACAGTTCACAATATCATGGTGCACCAGGCAACTGGGTTGAGCCAGGCAAGCATGAAGCTGGATTTTTCATTCTCTTTTAAGACTAGATCAAGAAGAACTATATTAAAAGTTCATCAGGCAGGGTTGAAAAAATCATCTATAATTCTCTGACAGAAAAAGATAAGTGATCCAAAGATATGGTGGACATATAGTAAACACCTTATGATTCCATTTCCAACTGTATACAGTAGAAAAGTACTCAATTGGGCAGATGGACTTATTTACTTTTTTGTGTGCCAACCCCTCCCTTTTCCCTGGCCACTACACTGTAAAGTCAATGTGAGGAAGATTATATCTTAAAGTCTTTTGTAATCAAAGACTGATACAGAACAAGGACTTGATGATTATTTACTGATGAAAACATTTATATCATAAACATTTGTAAGATATTTTATTTGCATATAAATAAAATATCTTATCTTATAAAATATCTTATTTTATTTGTGTATAAATAAAATAAAATATCAGATATCTTATGTGTAAGTCAACTCTCCTCCTTTCTGTACACCGATACAGAAAAAGGAGGAAAGAAAGTCGGCAGAGGATACCACGGTTCCTAAACATCATCTCTGGGAAAGAAATGGCTCTTCATGGCCTCATCTCTTTTCAGTGCTTCAGATGCTACACCTTTCCCACCAGACAAAAGTATACCAGCTGGGTCTCCAGAAATGTGCCTTCTCTAGAAGCTGGGAAAACAATATTTTGAAACACTAGTCACCTTCCTCCAATTCCCCACCCCTGAATCGGGCTTTACCTTCCACAGGGGAGGTTTTCAGTCTACTGCAAAGATTCTCTACACCTCCATAGTGGACAGTAATCTGGTTCAGTGCATCGATCGAACGCAGCTCCATGAGCCTTCTCAGTTCCATCACTGTGCAGCCAAAGTCCCTTTCCTGGATTGAGTTGGCCCGCAAGCTACGTTCTGATGGGTTCGTCATTTTGCCTGTTGTTACCACGCCCCTCAACCAGAGAAGATGTAGAGTTTCCCGTCAACTGATCAGCGTCTCCTGCGTTTCTGTCCCAACTTCTTCCTACTCCTTGTGTCTCTGGGGGCCCAGTTAGGAGATAGATCGAATAGATCTTGTGCAATAAGCTTCAGAGTAGCAATCCCAAGCCTAGGTCCTTTCTTCTGTAGGAAGCCTGGCAGCGAGAAGGGAAGAGGATTGGGGGAACCGAGTGGATGACGGACTCTGTGTTACGATGATTGGTGTCCTCAGGTGGTGATGGAAGTGGTAGTCCAGGATAGATAGGTTCCTAGCTTAGACCAACTCGCCCAGATGGAGGTGTAAACAGGATGTGCATGTTACCATGGCAGCAACCTTAGCAACAACCAGCAACGTGATGGTAGAGAGGCGGCAGGAGAAGGAGGATGAAGAGGAAGGCTTCCTGGATCCTGTTGACAACTGGATATCTGGAATAAAGATTCAAAGACAGACAAAAAGAAACAATTAGAGCAGTCATGAGGATCCAGCTTCTGCAAGGGCAAGAGGTACGCATTCTAGGACAAGGGTTTAAGTGACAGTTGATACCTGAGCTGAACTGATAACTGAGGCCTGCGCTGAGTGAACTGACTGAGGAGAAGCCCTTTCCCCCCTGGGAGGCCCCAGCAGCCTGGAAACACCAGTGTAGAGAGTAATTTAAAATACAACCCAGTCTTCCTGTCTCTCCTCTTCCAAACCAACCCAACACAAATCTCACAACTCCAGGAACTTGGAAGTAAAAAGCCACAACTTCTAATGGTCCTAAGGTTCTTCCTATTTGTGTGAGGGACCTGGGACAGGGTCCTTTAGTCCAGTCTTACCTACAAGAGGTAAGAAGAGGTCAGAAAAAAGGAGTTCAATAAACTAGGAATAGCTTATAACTGAGAAATCGGTTTTTATTAGTAGGCCATTCAAACACCCCCAGATTGTTTGTCATTTATGGCTACTATCTCATCTATAATCTACGTGCATCCTTTTATTTTCAGTAGATAAAATAAGCACAGTCCATTCTTTGACTCGTTTTTCTACCTGAAACTAAAATCAGGTCACATGTACATATTCTTTTCTTCTATAGGATAATTCAATACGATAATTAAGATGAACATATATTTCAAAACGTCATGTTGCACATGATACACACAGGCAATATTATCTGTCAATTTAAAATAAAATAAAAAGATGTAGAATTTAAAAAAAAAAGAAAGAAAAGAAAAAGGAGTTCAGACCCAAGTGATCTGAAGGGTGGGCGACCAGTCTGCACCCTCTCCCACACCCCATACTCTTCCCTGCTCCCAACGTACACATTTACAAACCAGGAAGACAACTTGATGGAATTTGCCAAAGTCCTCCAAAGCCAATTAGAGTACTCGGCCCCCAGCTGCATGGAAATCCTGCAGCCTGCGGAAGTTGCCAACGAGTTAGGCACCAAGTGCTGGTCTTGGGGCTGAGCTCCACCTTCTTCTAAGAGGCTTTTGGGGGAAAGGGGGAGAGTCAAATGCTCTGGCAGTTGGTGATACAGGGTGGAATCTTTTTTTTTTTTTTTTTTCAATAAAGGGGAAAGAAGGACCTCTGAGGAGGAAAGATAGGAAGTTTGAAGCCTGAGTGTTAAAGTTTCTCTGGGGTGGGAGAGAGGAGATCGCTATCAATTCAGATAGAGCACAGGCCACAGCAAGGTCAGCAGGGGAGACAGTGAGCCTGTGAGTGAGCCCCGGGAGGTCTCAAGTCAGCTCAATAAATGAACCAGAGAGCCGCAACCCTTTCTCCCCCGCAGAGAGACATTTGTTACCTCTCACAGTTCCCGACTGAGGCGTGGGGGTGGAGCCTTGTGTAGGTGAGGGCATGGAGAGCTGAAGATGGGAAACAGACTTATCTATCCTGAGCCCCGTTCTCAGCTCCAGAGAAGGGCTGCTGTGTGTCGTGCTGGAGCTACTGTCACACACCAGCCATTTAAATATATATATGTGAAGGGGTCCTTCCTGAGCACAGCACCAGGACACAGGGCACCCGGATGAGTCCTGATTACCTAGCTCCCCTTGACTTGAGTTCAGTTACTGGGGTTGGGGGGGGATGAAGATTTGACGTTTTCTGTCTTCACTCACTGCAATGTTTGCTCCATGAAGACGGGGATTCTTACCTATCTTGTTCACAGGTTTAGGAGAGAACCTGCATATCCTGGGCACTCTGTAATATTTTTTTTGTTGTTGTTGAATAACCAGTGGCAGATTCAGAACACGTTTTACCATCTCCTCAGGCACACTTCGGGTAAGTCACTTAGCCTTTTTAGGATTCAGTTCCTCCCACCATTAATTGGGGGAAGAATGGGCCCTACATTTTCACACCACCCTAAGAGAGTGATAAAGGAATGGGATTATAGATAGAAATAGTGCTTGGAAATCTTAGATGAAAGGTGTCCAGGCCAGGTGTGGCGGCTCACGCCTGCAATCCCAGCACTTTAGGAAGCCAAAGCAGGAGGACCGACTGAGGCCAGGAGCTTGAGACCAGTGTCGCCAACATAATGAGACCCCTATCTCTACAAAAAAACCCCAAAATGTTAGCTGAGTGTGGTCGTGCGTGCCTATAGTCTCAGCTGCTAGGAAAGCTGGGGTAAAAGGATTGCTTGAGCCCAGAAGTTTGAGGCTGCAGTGAGCTATGATCACATCACTGTACTCCAGCCTGGTGACAGAGCAAGACCCTGCCACCCCTAAATAAATACATAAATAAGAAAGTTGTCCAGTGTCTAGTATAGGAGTATAGGACACTCAAATAATGGGAGAAAGTTTAAATTGATCTTAATGAACTTCTGTTATCTATCCCTTCAAGTAGAAGAGCAATAGCTCTATGTGCCCTTCATCTCTCCTTGCCAGGGAACACTTGCCCCCCCCCCCAAAAAAAAAGAATGGAAAGTTAGAAGGCAGCTTCATTAGCAATAACCATTAGCTAGTTGTAACCATTAGCAATGACCACTAGCACACAAAGTCTTGGGTCTCTAGAAAATCAGAAAGGACAGTGTGAGTTAGAATTCCTTACTTTGAACCTCTTCTCAGGGCACTAAAGGGGAGAGAGCTTCCACTCACATAGGTAACCACCGAAAAAAGTTCATATAAGATTAGAAAACATGGGGCTAGGCCGGGCGCGGTGGCTCACGCTTGTAATCCTAGCACTCTGGGAGGCCGAGTCGGGCGGATTGCTCAAGGTCAGGAGTTCAAAACCAGCCTGAGCGAGACCTCGTCTCTACTATAAAAACAGGAAGAAATTAATTGGCCAACTAATATATATATATGTATATCTAAAAATTAGCCGGGCATGGTGGTACGGGCCTGTAGTCCCAGCTACTCGGGAGGCTGAGGCAGGAGGATCGCTTGAGCCCAGGAGTTTGAGGTTGCTGTGAGCTAGGCTGACGCCACCACGGCACTCACTCTAGCCTGGGCAACAGAGTGAGACTCTGTCTCAAAAAAAGAAAGAAAGAAAAAATTAAAAGGGGGGGGCACACATAGTTGGGGCCCCAGATTTAAGGTGGGATCTCTATAAATGCTTTTCTGTAATTTGGAAGCATGTCAGTGTGTCCACGCTTCTCTCTAAGCTCTCTAGAATATAAGCTTTCTGCAACTGCTGAGCTTGCCTGACCCATAACCTTATTAGGCAACTGCCAAAGAAAAATCCGAAGTGCTTACAGCACCTCAGCCTCAGATGCAATGCCCAGAAACCTGGGAGGTGCTACCTCTTGGCAGGTCAGGATTAGCCACTCGGCTTGGGGCCTCCTGGCTAAGGTATGTTCTCACTCCTTGATCCAGCATTTTGCAAGCCCAAGGGATGATAGGCTAGAAGAGCAGACTCTCCCATCCCTTCCTCCTGGGGCAAGAAATCATATTGCCTTACATGATCATTAAGTTATATCTAATTTTTTTCCTCCAAAAAGTCCTAGAACATCTGTTCTATGATTTATAGATGACGTGTGAAAGCAATGACATATCAATTCTAGGTAGGACAGCTGTGATCCCCACCTTACAGATGAAGACACTGAGGTCCAAGGAGGTAGAAAGTGATCTGGTCTTTGGTAAGTCAGGAGCCTTGACTGTCTGGTGCTTTTGTGTTACACTTTACTCCTTCCCTTATTTTTGGACAAATACCTACGAGGCCTTTTAATATGGAGGCATTCTCTAGAGCAGGGGTCCTCAAACTTTTTAAACAGGGGGCCAATTCACTGTCCCTCAGACCGTTGGAGAGTGCGCGCTGTGGGCCCGGGTCGAGTCGGCTGCTAAGCAGGACAGGCAGCGGCGGCAAAAACCCCCGGAGGGCCGGATGAATGTGCTAGGCGGCCCGCGTGCGGTTTGAGGCCTGCTCTACAGTACAGAAAATACAGATTTCCATTTCGAGGAAATGCTGACCCTTTCCCTCACTCTTTCTCTTTCAGAATCAACTACATCCCATTCCCTGCAATGAGGGCAAAATAGAGCCCCTTCCTGTTTCCGTGCATAGGGGAGAACGACCTTGGATCACTTCGACCTTGGATCACTTCCTCGTAATCCCACCTGCAGTTAGGCTCACTAGCAAGTTCCAGAAATGAGGACCTGCCAGAGACAAGAAGCTTATCCACTAAGGCACCAAACCATAAACAACAATCAGGCACTCTGTTTCCTCCAATTTTGTCCAAGGAATCTTTTACTCTTAGAAGCTTTCCCGGGGTGCTAAAGACACACACTCTCAGACTGAGGAAAAAGCATAACTCCTGTAGAGGCTATACAGCAGGGTATATTTGAAGATATGAAAAGAACCCACCCTCTGAGTCTCCCCTGCCAAAGGCTCCCGGTGAACCTGGGGCGGCGATGCATGGGACACGAGGACGCACGGAAACGGGAGCGAGGACACAGGAGGGACCAGGGGCGCGGGCTCCCGGCTGGAGCGGCGCTGCATTCGGACCTGCCTGGAATACTAAGTGGCTCCATGCAACTCTGGCCCCTGGGCTGCAGGAGCGGCTGCTCCACGGAGCTGACTCTTGTTTCCTGCCCTGCCCTTTCCTCTTCACTGGGCTCCGCTCAGGAGCAAGTCAGCGGCACCCAGAGACACCATGGCAGGACAGCTGGCACCCCATCACTGCCAGGCGGGACTTGGGGGGGTGCAGAAGGGAAGACCTCCAGGCAGGGGAGGCAGGCTGGCCCCTCCTTGGAATGCACCGAGCTGAGATGCGAGGCCTGCGTCAGGCGCCCCTCGCAGACCCTGCTGTCTTTTCTCTGACCCAAGGTCAGCTTATCTCAAGCCAAGCGAGGCTCTGTCCATGTCTCCCTATACTCAGGAGCAGGGGTGGAGGGTAGGAGAGACAAGAAGGGAGGGAAATAATATTTGTTGAGCACCTACAATGTGCCAGGTGCCATGCCAGGCACTTCATGTGAAAACTAGAGAGAAATTATGCATACACACACACACACAGACACAC